AAAAAGGGCTGGAGATATAGCTCAGAGTGAAGGCCCTGTGTCCAAGTACAAAAAAAAAAAGTGGCTTGCATGTCACTTAGGCAAACTGCTTGTGCACACGATATGGGTAACGCTGAATGCCTGATTTCTTTCAGGAGTCTGGGACACACACGCTGGACAGAAGAGTGCCCCGCAGACAGGCCCAGTGAGGTCTGCGTACTGCTCACCCTTGGTGGAGGAGCTAGCCACATCCTACAGGCCCTGTGGGAAAGGACCCTGGGAAGTCTGGGCCTGGCTTCCTCTGGACTTGGCTCCCTCTACCTTTTCCCTTTGTTGATTTGCTTTATATCCTTTGCTGCAACAAAGCCTAGTCACAGTGCAATTATATCATATGTATTATGCTCCAATGACTCTTCCCAGCAAAGCATACACCTGGGAGTGGTCTTGGACCCACTGGCTCAGGGTTTTAAAACATTGAAAGATTTATTTGATCTGAGAAGAAACCAGAGTATGGTTAAAAGTTTTAATGAAAGTTCTGCAAAAATTCATGCTCTTATGAGGAAAGTTGAGAATTAAAGGAAAGAAGACTTAACAAAATGGTAGCCAGCAGGGAATGGGATAGGATGAAGTATCTGATGACAAACACTCTCCTTACAAGGGACAGAAAATATGCTATGTTGTCAGAAAATTCAGATAATCTAGGAGATAGCATTGAGGCAAGGAAAACAAGAGGAGCTAAGAAGAAAAGGCCTTATGAACCTGAACCAATTCCTGCTGCTGCTTTTATGCTGGGGCCATTGCCAATCTGGGACCATTGCCAATTTTACATCCACCAAAAAATTCTTCAAAAGTTAGGGTTACGACTTCCAGGCCGTGGAGATTTATGCTGGTTGCCTAAATCTGAATCTCTCCATGCAACTTCTACCCTCCCCCACCACGTCCCCCAGAATTAAGTAACAATCTAAGCTAATCCCATTGGTCTGGGAATGCGGCTCAGTGGCAGGGCACTTGTCTAGCCTGGGCAGGGCCCTAGGTAAATCTAAGACTCACCTGCAAAGCCTATTGCTGTGGTGAGAAGAATGTTGAGCTTCAACAAAACGAACAAAAAAACAGAATGAGAGAGGCAGGTTAAACTGCTGATGGAACAAAGTATGCCCATCAAAGAAAAAAATCCTACTTGTTACGAAAATACTGAAAGTGGGTCTAAAACCTGTGCTATCAAACATGGGCCACCAGGATGAAAAGGGCAATGAGAAATCGAGAAATCGCTTGGAGACCAAGGAGGTCATTTCAGAGGCATGGCTGTGGGGGAGGACCCAACTGGAAGGAAAGGTGCCTCCCCTTTGAGAACATGAGAAGGATGGTAAAGAAAGACAGGACGGGGAGAGTAAAGATCTCAGAGACACAAAAGTAAATCACAAAACCTTCCTTCTAAAAGAGTAACAGTGACTTAAACAGAAACAACTCCAGCACTGTGGGAGACTGAGGCAGGAGGACTGAAAATTGGAGCCTGGCCTAGGCAACTTAGTGCTCAGTGAGAACCTGTCTCAAAATAAAAAATAAAAGGGCAGAAGAGCTAGCTCAGTGTGAAGGCACTGGGCTCAATCCCTAGTAGTACAAACAAAAACAAAAATGAAAACTGAAATTCTTGCAATTTTCTAGAGAAAAGAGTGTTTGCACCCTCTCCTCACAGTATCGGGGTACTCTATCACAAAGCTGCATCTCAAGTCGTTTTTAATTGAGACAGGGTCTCACTAAATTGCCCGGATGGGCTTGGAATTTGCACTTTTCTTGACTCAACCTCTTGAGAGCAGATAGGGTTGCAAGTGTGACCTAATAAGAAACTTACTTCCCCACACAAAATCCTCACTGCTGTGTATTAACACCCAACTATGAATCCTTATTCAAGTAAATGTTATAGGAAAAAATTAGAAAATAAGCAGAAAAAGGCAGACCAAATGCACACAAAGCTAATGAAATACATTAAAAAATAAGAATTAGAACATGTCAGCTAGATTCACCAACACAATGAGGGGGGAAAAAATCTCTAAAACAAACAAAAAAACTTATATCCCAGCCCTCCAATCTGAATTAAATATTTTCAAATTAGTATTCACAGATATTTTTTAAAGTCTTATCAAGGCTGGAGATTTAGCTCAGCAGTAGAGTGCTTGCCTAGGATGCACAAAACCCTGGATTCCATCAAAAAGCAAAAGCAAAAGAAAGTCCTATAAAATCATAAATCCCCAAACTCAAGAAAAAGTAGACAAAAAATTAGGAAGATATGAAATAAATTGATCTAGTCCAGGGAAATCATTTCAGAAATGAATAAATTATAAGATGCCCAAAAGAGACAAGATTCTACTATTCTACTGAAATTAATAAACAACACTGAAAAAAGGTGCAACAGTCAAGGGAATGAAGTTTCAGCAGGTGTGTAAAGTTCCTAGAAAATAAATAAATAACATCAAAAATATACAAACTACAAGAAATCATCCTGAAATAAAAGACTTGAATCTTTATGTTAAAAAGGCACAAGGGTGTAGTGAAAATTGACTTAGAATAGTTAATTCCAAGACATATCCTAAGTAAGACCATTACACTTAAAAAGACAATAAGATCAAGTCATTTACAAAGAAAAGCTACTTGGCTTGGCAGTAAAATAAACATAAAATAAATTTTCAGATAAATGCTGAGAGAATTCATTTTCAGGAGCCCTAAATGAAAAGAAACTCTAAAGAAGACAATTCAGATAGAGGGGAAATAATCCTTGAAGAAAGCATATAACTTCAGGGAAGAATAAGGAGCAACAGATAAGATGGCTCTGTAGGTACATATGAAATACAGTCTAATACTGGCAATATAAAATGATTGGGGTTCCAAGCACACACAGACTTAACGTGATGACAGTGTGAATGAAATGAGTGTGCTCAGATTCCAGGGTCTACAGTAGTAATACCACTACAACTAAATGAAAGTCATAGAAATTATTTTTGCTAGACAATAATATATCAAGGGTGCACACTGTAATCTCCACAGTAACCACTGAAAGAAAACAGTAAGAGAAGGTATAGCTAACAAAAACATGGAAAACAAAAAATAGAGTACACCTAACAAAGCCAAAACTAAAGAAGAAAAGAAAAAAGAAACAAAGTGGGTGGGAAAATAGAGAACAAAAAGGGCTGGGTATTTATCTCATTGTGAAGGCCCTGAATTCAACTGTTAGAACTGCAAAAAGAGACAAATAAACAAAACTAAACTCATCACTTTAGATAAAAGTGAGCCAAACCATGTGCTGCTTAAATTATAACCACTTGAAAGTCAGAGTAGAGTGGCAAGGATATACCATAGAAACACAAACAAACAAAACATAAGGAAGGTATCACAACTGCACGTCTTTACTAGATCCAACGACAGACTTTCAAAATATGTAAGGGAAAAGTTAAGAACTTTTAGAAAAACAAATCCACAAACATGGAGGAAGATTTTAACATATTTCTCTCAATAAATAATAGAAAACAGAAACCTTCTCCAGGAAAACCCACAGAAAACAAATCAGAAAGGATAAAGAAACAGAAGACCTGGGCTGGGGATGTAGCTCAGTGGCACTGTGCCTCCCTCGAAAGTGCAAGGTCCTGAATTCGATCCCCAGTACTGAAAAAAAAAAAAAGAAAAGAAAAAAACAGAAGACCTAACACCACAATCAACAAATTTGATCTACTGATATAAAGAGAATAATATACAATGACCAAATACAGTCTTCTCAAGGGTACCAGTAGCATTGACCAGTAAGCATAGTCACAAATCAAACCTCACCTATTTTCAAAGGACTGAAATCATTATGTTCCCCAACCACAGTAAAATTATGCTGCAAATCAATATGAAAAAGGTATGGAAAATTGCAAGTTTTAGAAACTATAGAGCCCACTTCTAAATAAGTCACTAGTCAAAAAGATATCACCAATACTACCCAATATCACCAATACTAGAGCTCGACAGACTTAATGCAATCCCTATCAGAACCCTAAAAGCAGTTTTTAAAGAAATAAGAAAATCCATCTTAAATGTCACGTAATAAGGCTACCATGGAAAATGGTCTGGTGGTTCCCCCAAAAATTAAAAATAGAATTACTATACTATATTTTCCAGCAATTTCACCTCTAGTGTATCCTAAAAGAAATGAAAGCCAGATCTCAATGAGGTATTTGCATCCCATGTTCATAGCCCCATTCTTCACAACAGCCAAGATGCAGAAGCAACACAAGTATCCACTGGTGGATATGTGGATAAATAAAATGTAAAAATAACAACAAAAAGCATCTGATCAGGGATTTGACAGAAAAGGATATCCACAGGCCCAAGAGAAATGGAAAGATGCTCTATTTCCCTGATCATCAGAGAGATGCAAGTTAAGAATACAGGGGGCCGGGGATTTAGCTCGGTGCCGTCGGCTGCCTCACAAGACTACAGGGCAATGCCACTAGATACCAACCTGAGTGGCAAAAATAAAGAGGAGGATATGCCAAATACCAACCAGAGGTACAAGTCTCACTTGTCTGTCTGCTGGACAGAATGCAAATTGGTTTAATCATTTTGGAATTGCTTTTGAAAACTGGTGGTATCTACTAAAGGCAGAAATATTATCCATAATAAGCAAATATTAACATAGGATTTGGGGACAGTATTGGGTGTTGAAGCCAAGCCCTTGCACAGGCTGAGCACCTGCTCTATCACAGAGAACCCCGTAGGCTTAACAGAATTTTAAGAAGTAATTGTTACAAGATTAATCTATGTTTCATCATCCTTTATAGTTCTAGCACTATGAAATTTTAAAAAATTACAAATTATTTTAAGTGCAGTACAACTTCTTCAGTCATGTTTTGGCTTAAGAAAATGTATCAGGATTTCCATACCTCATAATGCTTTGTCCACTCCCCCTGTGACCCAGCCCTTCCAGGGTAAGCTAGAGAAAGCCTGGCCGGCACTGTGTTACCTTTCTGCCGAGGTTCATGCTCTCCATCTTCGCCTTCAGCAGCTTCATCTTATTCATAGTTATTGAATTTTCAGTGGTCTTTTGCCCAGAAGGAGAAAGGTCCACCTCCCCATCCTCATCTGTACACAAATTGTACACAGAACCACCGCTGCAAAGAAAACGAAAATGACTTGAAGCTTGCACGACACCTACCTGTCCACAAGTAAGAAGCTCTACTGCAAGCCAGAGGCTGCTAGGGCAAACACATGCTGTCAATTCGAGCCCAGGGAAGACATGTTTTGAAAAGGTCTTCCTTGGGAGAACAGATTAAACGGGGATTGATACTGTGGTGAAGATCTAGTCAGCTGTGCTTCTCTGAACTCAGTGTATCACAGGTGGAGATCTTTTGGCACCTGCTCTATCATTCAAGAAGAGGCAAAATCTATTTCCGCAAGAATGTTTAGCCAAGGCTGCTAAGTATGCAACCTAGACCACAGGCTCATCAGGTTTCTATGACCCAGAATGAAAGCAAAATTGTCACAGAAGAGAAGTACCAGTTCCCATGCATCTGAGGGACACACAATGAAAAGAACTCCTAACTCCAGTGTTAGCAGAACATTTTCTGTTCTCAAAAGATATTAAAAAGGGGATAAGAGAATTTTTCTAAGTATGTTTGGAAACATAATCACTTAGAACAGCATGGATTTTAACACAGAGCCACACCCATGGTCGTCAAGCCTTGGTGCACATTATCACACGTTACACTGTTTTTGCCTTTTTTACTGTATTAGTGCATGGAGTTATCCAGAATAAGAGGTTTAGCTTTAGCATGTTTCTACATGTGCAGGACATGTACCTCATTATACCCTTTCCTCTTTCTTTCCTCACCCCCTTTCTGGTCTCTAATAGTCTTCCTAATTTCTTGCCATTTGACCTCTACTTTTTTAGATTCCACATGTTATATTTCTATTAGTATGTTTGCAATGCGTAAGAATGATATTTGTCTTGGGGAATTAGTATATATATGTATCACATCTTAATCATTTTTACTTCCCTTCCCCTCCTTCCCATCTCCCCTCATTCCAGACCCCCTTCCCATCTTCACAGTCTACCTCCTTGTTTCCTATCATCTATCTTTTATTTTGCTCTTTAAGTTATTTATATTTGGAGTTTCTCATATAAGAGAAATCATGTGATATTTAACCTTCTGCATCTGACTTTAATTCTCTGAGCATTATGTCCTCAAGGTGCATCCCCTTCCCTACAAATGACTCAACTTTGTCCTTCTTTATGGGTGAGCAGTTAACCATCATGACATTTATTTACACTTCAAGGATACACCTGGAGCCTCTTCTTTTTGACTGCATACTAGAATGACACTGCACACAATCTTCATATTTTTACTTACATGTTTGCTTCCCTTGTGTAAAGCACACAATAGGCTTTACATATCCTCCTAGTCTTTGCACCTGACAACAGTGCTTGGGACATACCCAATACATGTTTGATGAACTGAATAGAAACATTAAAATCTCAGTACATTTTAAACAGTGAGAAAATGTGGATAGTAAGGGTTTGTAAAAAACACAAGCTCACTGCAGTGGCTACCCATTGGTGATGCAAGGGGGAAAGCCTTAGCAGCAGAAATCTCCCTGAGCCATCTTGCTCAGCATCCAGAAGACAACAAAGCAGCACTGACCAAATCTACACAAGACAAAAACACATCTTTGATGTAGGGCCGATTCATTCTTCCCAAGGAACTCTGACCCACCTTCTCTAAAAGTTAATGTGTACAAGTCTCTATCTGAAACTAAAAGGCCTTCCTTCTGTGAGCCCTCAAGGAAGTGGTCTTGTTAAACTGCAACTTCAAACATACAATTTTAGTCACAATGCAGGTGCTCCTGGAAGTTCTAGAAGGTCCTAGATGATCTGGAAAAAGATATTCTTTAGATAATCATATCTGCTGCCTAGACTGTTTCCACATCCTCAAACTTTCACAAAACCCCCAATTTCTCACCCCGAAGGCATGCTTCCTCTCTTAGAACTTGTCTGTTGTCCCTCTTGACAGTGTACTCTGACCAGGATAAACCCTTAATGTTACCATTATCCTTGCCCTGGTAAATTCTCACTGGCCCTCCGTATGCTGTCTCACACAGCACTCAGCCTATTTGGAAAATGATTCAAACTTTAAACAGAGCAGAATAAGAATACTTACTAGTCACTGCACCTGAAGTACTCACATGAATAGTAGAGCATGTAGTTGTGCTACAAAGGCATGGAGCATAACAATTCTTGTTCTGTGTGGTGTAAAACATGGGGACATTCCCAGGACATACATACAGGGCACATTCCATAAATGCTTCTGAAGGACACAGCACATGGGCAGAACATATGGTGGACATTCTTAAACTTTCTGGGGTGAAACGGATGATGTTTTGAGATTGTGGGTTAATTACATGCACACAGGCATGAGTGTCAGAAGGGACAAAGCAGGAACTGACCAGCAACTGCCACTAGCTACCTAGTGTAGCTTCCCAGTGATGCTGATGGCTCTGAATGAGAACTGACACCAGCAAAACACTGCCTGTTGGTACCGAATGCCGACTCTGCCAGGCGCTTTCCACACATTTCCCTAATTCTTGTACAACTACAGAAGACAGACTTTATATCCCATTTTAAATGAAGAAACTGCAGCTAGAGAGGTTAAGCGATTTGTCTTGCGACCAGAAAGCTGGCAGATGGGAGCACCCAAGATCCAAGTGCCCCTTGGTCTGGTTCCAAAGTTGATCCTTCTTACCGCTTCCGGTTGCTTCCCCAAGCACCAGACCATAGCTTAACTGCAGCATGTTGTGCCCCAAATGAGTGACAGACTTACAGCTTATAGTACCTGATGGGTGGTGGCCTTTGCCTCCAGGTCAACCACACCTGAAAAGGAGGGCCGCATGAAGACTGTCAGTTCACCTGCTGGACTTAGAAGGAATGTTTCAAGTATACTCTCTCCTGGGTTACCTGGCATTATTTTTTAACTTTAAATATTTCTCAATTACCCCATGACATTTTAACTTCATTGTTATCAAATACCGAAAGAGGTTTTGGACTTAATTATCACCATCATGAAAAGATCTATTCTCCCATTAAATATGTGTATTGAAAAAGAACAATCAAGATAAACATTTCATTGGATGCATTTTAGAAGATAAAAACACCTTTAAATTCATCTCAGTTTTCCTAACCATCACAGCATATTTCCTCTCAAAAACCATGAATTCATGAAATTTTTTTCCACAATAAAAAAATGTTACTAGACTAAGATAACAGTGATTTATAAACTTATTCCACAAATATCTTTATAAATTTCAGTATTCTAATATTTATTGAATTTCTACAGATTTTTTTCTTTTTTCTTTTGGATTTTTGAGACAGGGTCTCACTGTGTAGTTCAGGCTGACCTCAAACTCGAGGCAATCCTCCTTGCCTCAGCCTCCCAAGTGCTGGGATTACAGGTGTGCACCACAATGCCTGGCTTTCTACATATTTTCTTGAGTACTATGTAAAATTTCCTTTAAACATTTAAATAATTTAATATGATTAAAGGATAACAGATGGGCAAATAAGGTATTTAGTTCAACAGGAATACTATTCATTCCAAAGCTAAGACCTAATTTGACTTTTACAGACTTTTTAAAGTCTTGCAGTGTCCCTTTCCATCTTCTAAAAAAACAGAAAGATAGCATGAATCATAAAACTATTTGAAAATCAAAAAGACGGATGCTGCATTTTGTACCATAATGAATCACACAAACACCTAATTTGCCCTGTTTCTTCTTAAAGCAGGAACTGGCAAAATATGGCCATGGGCCATAGCAATTCACCTGACCATGTATTGTTTTGCTGCTTTAGCACCACAATGGCAGAGGTGAGCAAGCAGTGGTGACAGCAACTGCACGTGGCTCTTTCACTGCGATGCAGCTTGGTGAAGGGACCCTGCCTGTGGTCCAGAGCAGCAGCCCTCGCTACGCACCTCCTCTCCTGTAGCCCATATATCTGTGCCGACCAAATCCTGACACTCTGGACAACAGTCACCATGCACTGGCACAGTCTGTTCTCTGTGGCCACCAACAGCGAGTGCATGCTCTTTTCCACAGGCACTCTGTGGGGTACAGAGTCCCATGGAGATCTGTGACTCCAATGCCTGGTGTTTGCATCCATAGAGTGCCCTTAAGTGTAGGCATGACCTATGACAAGCTTCTAGATAAGGGATATGGCAAAGGGAAAGGGATTTTACAGATCTAATTTAGCCCCAAATCAGTTCATTTTGAGTTAATCCAAAGGGAGCTGATAGCGGGGCGTGGTAGAGGGTACCTGCAGTCCCAGCTACTCGGGAGGCTGAGGTGGGAGAGCTGCTTCAGCCCATAAGCTGGAGACAACCTGGGCCACAGAGCAAGACCTGGTCTCAAACACACAACAAAACCCCAAACAAACAATAAACAAAAGGGAGCTGAGGACAGCCTCTAGCCAACAGCCAGCAAAACCTGGAGCCTCAGTCTACCTGAAAGGAAATGAATTAAGGACACAATGTGAATGAGTTTGAAAGCAGATTCTCTTCCTAGTGCAGCCTCTAGATGAGAACACACCCTGCTGACAGTGGCAAACAGCCTGTGGCACCCTGAGCCCCAGTCTCTGCTCCCCAGACTACAAGCTTTTTTTGTTGTTGTTGTTTTTGAATAGCTTTACCTATTTATTTGTTTCACCCAGAATGCCTTTCCTTCCTTTGTCTTCTTGGCAAACTCCCTCTCCTCTTTTAGGGTCACTTCCCCTCAGAGACTGTCCCTAACTCTCCATCTTTAGGTAAAATGAGCACCTTCTCTGATTCTCCAGAGATCTTGGTATCTTGTTATGTCATCAGTACTACCCACAGCAGATTGACACTCACAAAGGTAAGGTTGATACTATTTGTAACACCAGTGGTCAGCTACAAAAGTTCAGTAAATGTTTAACGACTGAAAGTGAAGGGAGATAAAGAATCACAGTAAGCTGGAATGCACAGAAACTTAGAGGTTAACAGGTCCAGTCCTTCAATGTTTCTATTGCCTAGCTAACCCCTCTAGGATTTTCTCTTTTGATTTTAAAAGTAATATTTCAATTTATCTCCCCTTTACAGAGTAGAAAAATAAAAACAAAGAAGAGATTTATATTTATCACTCTTTAAGTGGCAGGGTTAAATTTTGAAAAAAGATCCAATGATAGGTTTAACCTTTTCTACTATGTCACAGTTAAGTAACATGCTATTATCACAAGACTATTATCTAGGAGGCATCTTAGAGTTTCACAAAGTAACAGAAACAGATATCTTTTACGAGAAACTCTTACTCTGTAAAGAAACTGTAGTTTTAGAAATTACTCTAAATATCAATCATACAAAAAAATTAAATATGAGGGGAAGGCAGGGAGAACTGCAAAAAATTTAGTTTTGTTAAACACACTAAGATCACTTGATCACACAAAGTAAACAAAAGAGTATATGGAGTGTGTCAGATGATACTCTCTTTTACTAGGTGAGATATGCAAATGAAAACCTATTTACCTTAAAGATTCAGATAATGGTGTTAAAGTGCCATCTCCCCTATCTACTACATAAAAGAAATTCAACTGGTCTCCTTCTCGGTAAACCAAGAACGGAACTTGTCTGCTGCAGGAGGCCTTCTCCCAGACCTCATCTTGACTGGGGTCCATGTACTTGGCCATCTCCCTAAGCGGGTCTTCCATGGGAACTAAAGTGGAAAAATTAACAGAAAGTTTTCAATTTACAGCAACTTTTGTGCATCTTGTACACTAACAGGACATAATGTGCTGAACTGAGTAACCACTTGTGCATATAGCATTGCGTATGTTGTGTTTTTATGAAAGAAATAAAATGCATCATTATGTTGACCAAAACATAAGGATTTTCTTTTCCTGCACCACCAGCGTCTGTATATCTGCTGATTTTTATGATACCATCATCTAAGAATTTTCTGCTGCATACCTTCTGTTTTCTATATTTTCAAATATTGTTTCCAATGATCGACAACTGAAAAGCAATACAAATGCCACTTACTTTGAATTAAAAGGTAAACACATACGATTGAAAGAAATATGTAAAAAATTGGAAGGAAGGGAGAGCTGGGAGTATAGCTTAGTAGAACACTTACTTATATCCCCAAGGCCCTTGGGTCATTCCCTAGCAGCAAAACAAAAAACAAAGCAAAACAAAAAAACCCAACAAGGCAGGAGCAGGAGTAGCGGGAGTAGTCGGAGTAGCTAGAGCAGCAGGAGCAGCAGGACCAGCAGCAGCAGCAGCAGGCAAACCTCTTCTTTCTGCTTTTATATAAGCTGTTTCTTCTCAGACCTGCTGCTCTTTGATGTGAAGTCAGGTAACTAACAGGATTCAGTGGCTCAGCACACAGGGGCTGATACTGTGGTACACTGCAGAGTGTGAGGGGTCAGTACGCTCTTTTGGGACAGGATCCTCCCATGATCCTCTGCTGTCCTGAAGCTTGTGTGTCTGGTCAGAGTGCACAGGCTCTGGGGGTCCAGAGCTGCCCCTGGGTTTGAATGATACTGGGGCTATCATGACAACCTGCTCCCATCCACAGCAGCCACTGATTTTACCCCGAGGGTGGGAATGGACATTAGGAGATTGCTGCTCACAGGATAAATGCTCCAGAAGGCCCCGGGTCCAGTCCTGGGGAGCCTAGGTAACGATGGTATAAAAAGAAAAAGTTCTCTCCAAAGCTGTTCCCCTGTCAAGCTGCAGGATCACCGTTCTCTCCTAAAAGAAGCAACAGTTTTCCAATCTGCATAACTTTCATTCACTTACTAACAGAATCACAAGGCTATCCTACCCTTTAAGAAGTGCTACCACTAGAAAAATACCAAACTCTGAAGGGAGTAAGAAAAAATCCAAGATGTTCCTGCATCCTAAATTCACAACACACACACAAATTGTAAAAATAAAATAAGATTTGTTTTGTGAAATAATCATTTGAATGATTTGATTGACTCAGATATAAAATGTACAACTATTAAAGGACATTTTTCAGGTAAGTTCTTGGCTTTTTAAAGTGAATGTTCTCCTTTCCACATTAAATGGGAAATAAAAATGATGATGCTGGATGTTAGGTTTTATCACCGCTGTCACTACATGCACATGAGGGCCACTCACAAGCAGCACAGGGCTTTGCTAGGGCCTAGGTTGCCACTATACACATGTGTGCATGTACATGCATCTGTGTACATGTGCACACGCATGTGCACACCATGTATATCTGTGTCAGAAAAGTCATTTACTTTATTAGCTACAAAATAATGCATATAGAACTAGGATACAATTAATTTAATTTTAATTATGTAAAAAATAAATTTTATTTTATCCCTTTCCTCCCCTCAAGCTCCCTCCCTTCCCTATATACACAATTTAATATTAGAAAGCAAAGCATTTTCTATGCTTTCTTGATAATGGTTATCTCAGAACAAATTTTAAAGCTAAATATTCCTGGAACACACACAGTAAAGATATTCTCTGAACCATGGTTTTGAAATAAGATTAAATTAGCTTTAAAAGTATGGTTTCTCAAATACAATATGGAAAGCTACTAAACCTAGATGCAGTTTTTCTTTTCTTCACAAAGTTTTAAATGACTTACTATAGGCAATATCAAGCCTTTAACATTAAAAAGTGTATTTAATAAAGGGAAATTTATTAAAAACAATTTTAAATATTAAAATTAAGTGCTAGCTACTGATTTATCAATTCCCGAGAAAGGCACAGAAAGTTGTAGAAAAATTATTATGAAGACTTTATTATAAAGCTTCAACTACCAAAGGGTAGTGATGCCTTTCATTTTCATTAAAAAAGAAAAAAATATATATATACACTCAGAATTTGTAATACTTACATGCATTCTCATAAATGTGCAAAATAATTTTACTCCTATTAAGAAAAATTTGCTGTTCTAATTAAACACTCTGTACTACACACAACCAACTGTCAAAAACATAATACAATGGAATTCACATGTCATTAAACACTGTATAATTCTATCTTAACGTAATGGCTCAGTAAACACTTAGGGCTCTTGTACTGCTCTCAAAGTCATCACTATAAACACTACCTGTGTTACATAAAAGCATTTTATCAGTCTAGTTAACAGAGTTCCTGATGTCTCCAATCTGCTGTAGTATGATTACTGTTTGCACTAACCTATGCAAAACAGTGCAACAGCTCTCACAAAATCCTCTTGAGGTAGCTAGGGAAAAGACAGTAATAATCCTATTTTTAAACCACATTTGTGAAGCATAGGTATATTGTTTGACAGGTGGCAGTAAGTCAGCAGTGAATCAATACTTAAGCTTCAATTTTCTGGTCTGTGAAGAACCAAACAAATCTGAAGCGCTTCCCCAATAGAGCAGCTGCCTCACATGGTGGGGATTTGTGTGACATTGCTGAAGCAGGGGCCAGTGAATACTCCTAGCTCTTCTATGCTTAGAACTTTATTATTAATCAAGTCTCTGCCTACATCATCTCCAACGACCCTCCCTTCTGTCCCACTTCATAGACATTGTCACATTATCTTATGTTTCCAGTGCAGCTCTTACAGCCACTTGAATTTACTGTCATTCTTTACACATTCACCAGAGGCAGTGTCAGGGAGCAGGGCCTCATGTTCACTGTAGTGACACCTTATAGTCACCGAGCATTTGTGGAAGGCATGAATGAGCAGATTCTAGAGGTTGCCCACATTCTGAGAAAGGATTCGAGAGGGCCATGAAAACATCCATGAAACCCAGATACATCATAAACAAGGTAAATAAATGGGCAACTATGACATTTTCCATAGTAATCATTATTCCAGGAATTGAAGACTCAGTAGGAAAAAAAAGCAACAAAAGTGGTATGAATCTAAACTCAGTGATGACATTATCTATATTGCCATTCCTTTTGCCTTCCCTTTACTGTGGAGGTTTACTTCTAAATCTCCCTGAATTGAATCAGGAGTCACGAAATCTTCTGGAATATATTTAAAAGTTCTGGTTCTCCATGTATTTACGTCTTAAAGAATAATGCCAGTGAAACAAATAAGATTCTTCTAAGACCTAACAGCAGAGAAGGAACTTGACTTAAACCAGAGGTTATAACATTGCTGACTTAAGAATGTTATTGTCAAGCTGCTTGAAGAATGATAGCCAAATTGCTTTAAAGTATGCCTACCTTTTCTAGTATTTATAGGTCCACCACGCATGGCCAAAACCAGCTTCAAGGTACAATCTTCTGAAACGCTGTGAACAGTGAACACAGAAATAATCTATAATCGTGAGAACACATCCAATGTTAAATGTAATACAAATTAAATGCTGTTCTATTGGGCATAGTACTTATTCTTCAAACCCTAAAAAGATACAGCAATATGAATAAATTTAAAATGTTAATATTTACTTATACAAAGAATTAAAAAGTTAAATGGTTCCCATCAGCCTTACACTGATGTGAAATCCCAGAATAAATGTACTGGAAAGGACCTCTGTGATCTGTGCCTCTCTACCCGATGTGAGCAAAATGAGGCCTGGGGAGAAGAGAGGCTTGCCCAGGACCCCCAGAGCTGTAGGAGGGCAGATCTGCTCATGGCAGCAGCAAACAGGAGAACAGTGAAGCAGCCTGGGATGGCCCCCAGGGATCTCTCAACTATTCTGCATTATTCTGACTCTTCAAAAGAGTAGTGAACTATGTGAGAAGGAGAAGGAAAAAAGCCCAAGTGTGTCTGGACCCAGTGGTACACACAGATCTGCTCAGTGACCAATGGGAGGCTTCAGGAGGAAATTCTAGGCAGGGAGCAAGGCTCTCAGGCCCAGAACTCTTCTGCAGATGGACAGGAAAGGAACACAGAAGACAGGAATGGGTCAGTGTTCTGAGAGAGAGAGAGAAGCAAAGGGGACAAGAAGTTAATAGGAAGATAGAAAAAGCAGGAGGGAACAGTTTGACATGAAAAATAATAAAGTGTAGGCATCAGAGGGCAAAGATTCAGGGACAATAATGAACACTGAGACAATAAATCTATAGCTCAAAATTTACAGTGAATGAAAAAAAAAAAAGAAAAAATTTACAATGAAATCTGGAGTCAGCTATTCAGAAAGAGAGACATGATCCAAGGATTCAGAAGAAAAACACTGGTCTACAGAGTCATTATCCTGAGCACCTACAAACAGCTTATACACAAGGACACTCACTTGTAATCATTCAAGCAATAATCATCTTCAAGTTCCAGGTTGTTCCAAATTAAGTGCTGCTGACAGATGGGAATACCTTAGAGGAAGGTGATAATAAAAAGTGTTAAAGAACTCAACAGCATTTCCAAAAGAGTGTGATACAAAATTACTTCACTAAAGAACTAAGAATACTGATAAATACACTTCTAAATTGAATGCTAGGTGCTTAGCTAAAATTTACAGAATTACAAGTAAAAGCATAGTTAAGAATAGACAAAATCTATTCACTTTACAAGCATATGTTTCGGTAACTCTCTGGCCCTAGAAGAAAATATAAATACACAGCCCTATAAAAAATAAACTATCATGAGTAAGCCCTGAAGAGTTTAAGATTTAAGACCTAGAAGACAGTGCTAAATGCTGCAAACTAGTTTGCATTGAGTTTTATTCATTTCACATTCCATGGTAAAAGCATACTGACAATTTTCAAAGCTGAAAATCACAGTCCCCAAGATATTTTCCTTACATTTCTGTGATGCTAAAAGAATATTAAGGCAGAATCTATACTATAGGATAATAATTCTATTTTTTAACAATTTGCACACTTAAAGGTCCCAAGAAAATTTGGATTATATTAGTCAGGGAGTAAGCATTATCTACCCAATTGAACACTTAAGGGATATTGTCTCTGATGAAAATATTTTCAAATATTTCACATACTACCTTCTCAAATTGCTTTTGCTTATATTATAAAATAAGTGGATGAGAATAACACCATGAAGTGCCACACGTACTAATGTTTATTACATAAGCCAGGAACCTTGTACACACTTGACCTTTATTATCATAATTCAGCTCCAACAACAACCCTGTGAAGTGGAATCACTGGAATCTGAATTTCACATGTCAGGACACTCAGGAACCCAGAGACAGTGACACAAGAAGAGTACAAGTGTGATCAAACAGTAAAATGAATGCTTCCATTTTAAAAAACTTATCACAGTAAAAGACACATCTGTCATGAATCCCCAACAGTCCCCCTAGCTTTCAATGGCTATATCGAGTCTTTCTGCCACTTTCTGAAGTGGTTCTGGAATCCTCTTTCCTATCTTTAGCCAAGCTGTTGTGGCTGCGTTGATGTCTCAAGCTGATTCAAAACATTCACATTTCATGGTGATTTTGACTTTGCCAAAGAGCTGGGAGTCGGATCCACTGAATAAGGGGGACGAGGACACTCTGTAATGCTTTTTCAGACAGAAATTGCCTTAGCAGAACCAGTGTGTTACATGGTATTGTCACGACGGAGATGAAACTGTTTGTCCATTTCTCAGGCTGTTTTCTATGCACATTGTTTCTTACATGCTCTAACAAGTCCTTAAAATATTCAGAGTTCACCATAGTATCCCTAGGTATGAACTCAACTCTCACACTTCTATCAAAGTAAAAAGCACAATTAGCATCACTTTGATGCTGGATGTTCACTCACATACTTTTTTGCTGAGGAAAACTGGGTGATTTCCATTCAGAACTCCAAAGTTTAGTCTCATGATCATAACCACAGACTCAAGTTTCATCTCCCATAATGACATTTCTTAAAAAGGTGGGATATGAAGTGGCATAATGGCATAACTCCAATAAAACTGAAAACATTTCATGTTATTTGTTGTCATGATTTATGGCACACCTTAAAGTACACCTTCTCCCAACTGTTGCTCACAGACTGAGCATACCAAACAAGGTGAAATTTGCTACACACTGTTATAAGGTCTGACATGCCACCTCCATACCCTGCCTTTCCATCGGGCAGCATGGTGTCAGCTGCATTCACTGTACATTTTGATGACATTTCCTGTGGCAGTGGAACACTGGAGCTGCTTGTAGAGACTGGATTCCACTTTTATGCTGACTCATCTCTAGGATATCAGCCTCCACAAAGCAAAAGCAGCTGTCTGAGCAACGTGCTTTCACGGTGTTGGCTGTTCATAGACCTGAATTTACCAAAGCTTATTTTAGCAAGTGTCCTAAAAGGTAATCATGAACTACACTGGGGCTTATGGAGCAGATGTCCATGCCTGTGTCTCCCAAACAGAATAGTTCATTTCTTTAGGAATGGTTTCTAAGATACATTAGTTCACTCTAAAAATATTTTTGTATTTAAGTAAACTTGACCGCATCGAGATCATCTTTTCAATCAAACTCACAGGATTTCGTCAGCTTCAGTACATAAAGCACTCTGGGCCAGAGAACCATGTTTCCATCCAGTTGATGCAGCAGAGGTTGGCTTTGGAATGAAGCCTTCAAGCTGGATGATAAGACAGGAAGGACGCTGATTGGGCCCATCTACCATAACTGTCAGTGGCCTTTGCCATCAGAGAACGGACAGCACAAGGCAGTGTGGACTGCCCAAAACCAAGCTGGGGTCCTGCCTGCCATCTGAGTGCAAGAGAACTCTGGAAAGTCGGCCATCCTCTGTGAGGGTCGCTGCTTCCCCCTCACGTGGAAGGAGGCGAGGGCTGCTTCCACCCAGCAGGACGCTGAGAATCTCAAACACACAGAACAGAGCAACTCAGCCTTAAGACAGGGACTCTGAGTTTGTACTTGCTAGATCTGGCAACCCTCCTAGAGAGTGGCTCTTTGCTTTTAACCCCCAGATACATTAATTTCTAGAAAAATACATTTCCCTCTGAAATGGACTTATTTATATAAATTTTCTCCTTTTGTGGTGCTGGGGATTGAATCCAGGACCTCTTGCAGGCCAGGCAAGTTTTCTATCACTGAGCTACACCCTCTGCCCCTAAACTTCCATTCAGTGCTTTTTGCTTCTTTCAAATGAAAATATTTATTATAAAAATAGTTACTTATGGAAAAATAGACAACATAGAAAAATATAAAATAAAATAAAAACTATGTATAATCCTAAACCCAATAGAAGCTATTCTCAATATTTGGGGTATATTTCCTTCTAAAAAATTTTTAATAAAATGGGAGTATACTTTGTGAGCTGTTTTATAAACTGCTTTTTAAATATACTGTTTATATTTTTATATCAATAAATAAAGACATACATTGCTTTGTACTACTAGATGAAACTCCAAAATATATTTGCCATAATCAATTGATTTGTGTAACCCTCTAGTAAGATTTATTCATCAATACAGTTTTTCACTATAGTAAAAAAAGTTGTGATTATGAAAAGTTGTCGGAATCAAAATGGAGATGCTCTGTGTCCAGCCTAACAAAAACTAACTGGACAGAACCAGGAGGTATGGAAGGTAGTTTCTTACCCACAGTGGCTGACAGTAACAATCATCAGAGAGGCCAGCACCGCAGCCCTGCTCGGAGGCCACCACAGCCTCACTCACTGGGAAATACTCACAAGAATGTCTGTGCAGCAACTGTCTGTTCAAGGCAGGGTCCTTGATATTAATCCCTGTGGCCATAAATTATGATTTCAATACATCTTAAGGAATCCTCCTCATTTTGCCTTTAAAATTCTCCCTTCCCTCAACCTCTCTGAATAAGTGCATTTCCATTGTAATGCTTTGCTACTCCTAAGTAAACCTAATTTTCAGAGAATCTCTCTTAATTTAGGTTAACATGATAAATTGATACACAGATGTGCACACAGTTGAGTGTGTGTGTGTGCTTGCAAATGTGTGTAAGTCTGCTGGGGCTGATATAACAAAATACCCTGGACTAGGGAAGCTTAAACAACAGAAATGCATTTCTCACAGTTCTGAAGCCTGGTAGCCCTGGGTCAAGGTGCCAGTGAAGTTTCCCTGTCAGCCTTTGTTCCTTGGCACTTATGCAGAAGCCACCAGACTGTATTTACATGACCATTTCTTTGTGTGAGGGCAGAGAAGGAGGGTGCTCCCTGGTGTCTCTTCTTATAAGGACATCAATATCATGAAGTCCTCACTTAGGGTAGGTAAGGACCTGCTCATGTAATCCCATTCACCTCCCAAAGCCCCATCCCCAAATGCTATCATATGAGGGTCAAGCTTAAACACAAGAATCTGCAGGGGCAGAGGGGTATAAATATTTAGCTACCACAGAATGTGTGTATATCCACATTATAATGAACCATATGTTTCTTTTGTATTTTTAAGGGAGTCAGGGAGAGAAGGGAGGGAAGGGCAAGGGGGGAGTAATGGGTGGGTGGAAGTAAAATATCTCCTGTGCATGTGCAAATATGCCAAAATGAGACCAATTATTCTGTGTAATTAATAGGCACTAAAACCTCAACAAAATACAGAATTTTAAAATGTTCCTTGTATTTTTTTAGAATTTTCAGACAGATGTGTGTTGAGAACACATTCATATCTGCATTAGAATAAACCATAAAAGTAGAATCAATTGAGCTTTAAACAAAGGTACACCATAGTTCCCATCTCCTCATTTCCTTCCTCAACAATAAACAACAGTATGAAGGAAAATGAATCCATACAAAAACCCTGCCCTCATAACTTGATGACACAGAAATGTCCAAATTCAAAATAACTACATAAAACAAGTCAACCACCCCATCCCAGTGCAGATACCTTGTGTTCCCACCGTTGCAGGGCTGATCAAACAAATCCATGGGTTAGGCACACAGGGGAACTAAGACTGGTCCTGTGTACAATATAAATCTCTCACCAGAAAGACAAAGAGGATTCCGAGTATGAAAGTTTACAGAAATGATTCAGGTGGATTGGAACATTCACCACAAGGAAGGGACCTAAAAGCCATGTGATTTGAAGAAGCTTCTGCAAGAGGCAAAGCAGACAAGAACTCCCCTTGAAGAGCTTCACTGTGCACCAGCCAGGGGCGCGTAGAGTCTGGTGAGAGAATGCCACAAACAAGGTGCTCTCAGGCTGCAAGCACAGCGGCTTGGGGTCACTGCCAGGCTGTCCTCACATTTCAGGAATGTGGCCTGGAAGTCTTGACTATATGAGCCCAAGTTGGACTGCTCATGAGGGACCCAAGAAAGCAGCCTGTCCTGGGTTTTAACCTAGGGTCCAGTGACATGCTGGGCTGGAGCAGTGAAGAGCATGCTGTCTCTAGGGAGGACTGGAAGGGAGCCTGGGCATCCTGGCCAGTCTGCGCAAGTCTCAGGATACCGTATACTCCACATATTCTATAGCAGATTCTTGAGAACTACAAGAGAGAAAGGGAAAGACCTGGGTAGGTCCAAGGGTGCCAGGACCTTCCTGCATGCTCTTCAATGATTCACTGGTCAGAGGGAAGGAAAGGGTAGAAGACAATAGAGAATTATAAAACTGGGGATTCAGATCACCAAACAAACCTAAGACATTTATTGGAATATGGACATTGCTATGTTGTCAGAGAACGCACCATCACACAAACCTGGAAAACATGCCACGATCACAAAAACAAGCAAGAGAACAACTAACCAATCCACAGTTAATGTTAAAAACTAGAAAATGAAATTCCATATGCACATCAACCAAGTAACATTTCACTCAGAAAAATTACCATGAAGCTGAAGAAAACTATAAGGCCACATCTCTATCAGAGTTACAAATAATCAAGCATTTGAAGATACGAAAAAACTTTGCAACAGAAATTTAAAAATTAACAGAAATTGGGTAAAAGTAGATATACAAAAATATAGGAAAAAATGACAGTAAGAACCTAAGGAATACAATGAAATGAGTTATCAGAAGAGAATTCACAGTAGTAAACATAAAAATATAAGTAAAAGAATAAAAATAGGGGCGGGGATTTAGCCGCGCCTGCTGTGCAAGCGTAAGGACCCAAGTTCGATCCCCAGTACCAAAAAAAAAAAA